TTGACACCTTTTTTTCTTTTAAAAAAAAAACCGGTCGGGAAGGTGGTGGGGGGGGGGGGTTAAGGCGAGCCAAGCCACGCGCGCAAAGCTTCTGTGCACAAGATCGAAAAAACGTTTCTTTCCGCAAAAACAGTAACAAAGGGATGGGCGGGGTGGTGTCTAGAACAGGTCTTGGAACCCATGTTGATGGGGCAAAGGTTTCGAACACTACATCCTGAACGGCGCTACGGCAAGCTGCTGGAAGTCACGTTGAGCAAGGACCAAGGGCGACAAAAGAGGGTAGCAGTAGTACGACAACACGATATGTTTGAAATTCACAACGTAACCACCGGTCGGTTTCGCCTCTCACACCGCCGTGCGAACAACGGAACGGGAGAACACAATCAAACGCCACATGAGCAACTGGGCGACTGACGTCTACTACAAACTAGCGCTCAGTCTAAACCGAATTTCTTTCGTGGACAACATTGCCGCCATCGCCGAGGCATGGAACCGAGGCGAGAGCTTTGCACAAGTCGGAATCGACACCCAGCAGCATTTTTTCGGGAGGTCGCAAGCCCCCCCCCGCCCTCCCAATTGTTTTCGTGTCACGTCTGCATTGCCCCCGCCGAAGCGCTCTGTCTGGCCTGTCAATTCTGGCACAGCTTTTTCAAGGACACCCTGGATTTGTTTTCGGTGGAGGCCACAAACTTTCCCGAGTCGTTGTAGAAGGGGGGCTTGAAACTAAGCTTCAGACAAACCAAGTCCTCCCTACCCCTCCTGCTGTGCAGCAGGGAGAGGGCTTCAAAGCAAGCCAGAAGAACAACCAACAATGTACTATAGTTTACTCACCCTACTACTGCAGACGGAGGGCTCGAGAAAAAGCCAAACGACCAAGCGCTTGATATTCTACAGTTCTCACATTGCCGTAGTCAGAGGGCTTGAAGCCAAGCCAGCCGGCGGAGTGAATGCTGTTATACTTGGGGACGGTGGTCAGTAACACCTCCTCCGAGGCGCGAGTGGCGACCGGGTCCTCCGGGAAGTACGTGAACTTAGCCAGCCGGTTGCGTTGCATCTCCTGCAGAGGAACGGAGGAGCGATTGAGATGAACGAGCACACATTTGTTTACAAAGCGATTTTCGGGATAGTCGCGAACCTTGGCGAGCCCGTTGCGTTGCGTATCTCCCGTGCAGATAACCCCGAGATCGAGAATTACAATACACCCAAGAAAACGATGTTGACGATTAACGTGACCCTTGGCGGGCCGGTTGCGTTCTCCTGTAGAGGAACAAGGGCGCGATTGGTTGACATAAAGAACGACTTTGCGATAGTCGCGAACCTTGGCGAGCCGGTTGAGAAGTATTACACCCTCACGAAGCGATTTTGGCGATAAACGTGACTTTTGGCGAGCCGGTTGCGTCGCGTCTCCTGTAGCGTACCGAGGGTACGCGATAAAGGTAACAAGCTAACCAAGGCAGGTTCGGAATTTCGCGATACAGGTAAACTTGGCGAGCCGGTAGTAGCATACACCCTGAAAAACACTCCAATGGGTTCAAACAAACCGCAGCAGAGGCAGCAGCAACGACGACAACCAACCGACTGCGACCATACCGAACGGATAAACAACAAAACACCAGCACCGCCGGCGGGCCGGTCGCCGACCTACGCAAGACTCACGCCGTCGTCAAGCAGGACCGTGTAGCTGACGTAGAAGTACTGCGGGTAGGAGTTGTCGCCGAACATTGGCCCGAATGCCACGTCCAGAAGACCCTGTCCAGGCACACACGCACGCAAAGCAGAAAAAAAAAAGTAAAAATGGTTGGGCGCGGCAGCACTTCCTCCGCATGTACGTGCACAAAGCGCGATATGGGCATGGCGTTTCGTCAGCAAGGTAACGGGAGAGGTGGGGCTGCAGGACTCCGAAGGTCAAGAGCGCAACAATTATCGTTGCCATGGCTTCTTGTAGAGGCGAAACGAAGGAGCCGCAATGCGTTAATTCCGCAACGCCGGCAAATTCTTGGGCAGAAACCTATAGCTCAGCGGTCTTTTCTTCGAAATCTCGAACGCCCCCCCCCCCCCACAAGCTCAACATGAACAGCAACGACTGCAGTTTGTGGCCATTATTTGCAACCCATAACACCCTTCCCGGCCCGGTGAGAACTCGGCGTTCTCCGTGCCAGTTGTGCAAAGAGGCGAGGTCAATCAACAGCCTAACGACCATGCCCACCCCCCACCCCCAATTCTTCTTAATCGCGGACCCCTCGCACCTCCTCGAAGTCGTCGTAAAAGTTGCCTCCGGAGGGGACCGGCCCGGAGACGTCAATCACCAGCTCGGACTCATCCATGCTGTCCGAGTCCACCTGCACGGGGAAGAAAAATACATACACACAAGAAATGGAAAAAAGCATTATAGGCCAATCAGCTGACTTGCACGATGAGAGAAAGGAGAGAACGAATGAAAAAAACGTAATCAGGCAATCAGTTGTCCTAGTTCACCTGTGCACGACGCGGGAGAGAGGAAGAGAAACGAAACAAAAAATAAGGGATATCACACCCTCAATCGACCAGGGGATAGGTAGACAATCATCACCTGGCCTTCAAAAAGCTTTCTGGCAGCGACAAGCATCGTTATAGATGGATGTTGCCAATCGCAAGCTGATGATCACCCCTAGGGCGTTGCCGACTACTTGGCCGCGCAGACGGCGCTTGCACTTCAGAACTTGGCAGAGAAAGAAACCCATAGCCTCGATAATGTCGGCTCACCGCGTAGATTTGTCCCGAGATGCCCAGCAACCACCATTGGCTACCGTCCGGAGTCTGTTTCGTTCGCGGCGCAAGACGGGGGACAACAACCGGGAAAAAATGGGGCGGCGGGAGGGAGGGAGGGACGTTTAACTGTGCCATCGAGACGCGAGGTACGAACGAGGGAGCTCGCATCTCCATGCCAGTTCGTTTCGGATGTGGACACACTCACTACACACAACGAGGGAAAAGAGGCAGGGATCTACAGCAGTGCCTACTTCGAGCTTCTGCTGCTGCTGGTATCGTTTCTGTTGCTGTTTGTCTTCACAAAAAAAAAAAAAACGTTCCCAGCAACTCTATGTGCCCGTCCGCACTCGTGTCGTGTACACTGCGCGGTCACAGGCGCACGTGTCTGTCTCCCGAAGCGCCATCAAACCCCACCCCCACCTGTGTCATGCTCACCCTTCCACTAATTTAACGCCCGACCTGAATTGTCTCCCGCAGCGACATCAGAACCCATACCTACCTGTCTCATGCTGACGGTATCACCGGGCTGTTGGTCGTCGGCCAGGTCCGGGAATACCTCGTTGAGTCCCGGCTCGAAAATCTCGGCTGGTAGGTGAAGAGTGTGAGGCAACACATGGGGGTGCAATCGGTTTTTAGATTATTTCGTCATCGACTTGTTATCGCAAGGGTGTATGTACAATGCCACCCATTATCCCGTTAGGAAATCGAAAAAAACAAAATCATTTTGTTCCTTGGTTTTCTTCTTCGCACGTGGGTGCGACGTCTCCAGTGTACGTGCGATATCACCGAACCATGCGTTCTCTTGAGTCCGTACCTACGGTATGTGGAGAACGAACCACCAGTGAATGACCTGCTGTGCAATTGAGAGAAAGAGCCCAAAATGTCCCAAGACGTACTACCTTGGGCAAAACAAGAGGAACCCGATCAAGAAGCCTACACGAAAACCTACGAATGGGCTCTATATGGATCATAGTGGAGGGGTTGTTGACACCACGCTTACAAGCGCTGCTTGAGGCTATCTTTCTTATTAGCCGAGGTAGTAAGATCGGGCACGAGCTGTACACAAAGCTCGAGGCGCGAAACGCTTCAGAGAGAGATGAAAAAACTTCGGAAGGTGGGTGCGATGTGCGATGGTGTGTGGCGGTCCCGATCTCCCCAACACTACGGGGGGATTCACAAATCAGCCCATGGGCACGAGGCCGTGCCCATTAGCAGCCCATGGGCGGATTAATCAGGAACCACACGTCGGCTTGATGGTCGACGAGGGAAAGGGATGGCCAAAAAGATGGGACGAACACACTCAGCCGGTTAGCGCGGTCGATGCTAACAAAAAAAAAACACACACACACACAACACACAAACCATCCCCTCACGGGGGTCCCAGATCACGGCCTATGTAAGCATTTTTTTTTTTCGACAGCGCTGAGACCGACGACTTCCCTTCATTGCTCAGCCGGTTAACAACAACGCGGTCGATGCTACTTAAATGGACACACACACCAGTACGGAAAGAAAAAACAACAACGAAAACAACACCGGAAGTGTGGGGTGGGGTGGCCCCAGGACGGACGCACGTTCCTCGTAGGGGTACGACCAGAAGAAGTCGGATCCCCCGCCGGTGTGTTTCGTGCAGTAGTCCACGCTTCCGCCGTCGTACGTCGGGAAGTTGATCTGGCCGTCGCACGCTGTGACCAGCTCGGCGCAGAAGTCGCTCTTCATCGTCAGGCCGTCGAGCATGCCGAGCTCCGCCCCGAGGTACTCGTACAGGTGCGCGCTGTAGGAGTGGCACCTCGCGCAGACCACCTGTTTCGTTTGAAGTTCCGTGTTTTTATTTCAGTGCGGTTCACGCAGGTTTTTCGAAGTAAGCGAGCATACTGGAAGAAGGGATAGAATCGGCTGAGTTGGAGTTGGAGTTAGGGTTATGGTCTGCGTGCCCCCTGCCTGAGCTCTTTTCGGTATCCAATATCCTTGCTCGCTTTGTGTACCATACGTGCATATGAAATCTTTGTACAATTTCGCGTCCGTCCGAACGAAGAAAAGAAGGAGCACCACCAGTGGCAAACAAACGCGTCAGTCAGTCAAAGGATAAACGTACACACAAGTATTTGTAGGAGGATGCACGGAAAGAAGGAAACGAGCGTAGACGGCAGTCCAAGCCAAACAGTTCCTCCCTCGGTTACGGTTACCCGTGCCGAAACTAAACCGGCAAAAAGAAAGGGTTTGGCCGTAGCTCTTAGGCCGACGTCGTCTTCCCTTTTCCGGCCAGCTTAATTGCCCAATTGACTGCAACCTTTTGCGGCCTCTTGGTTGGGGCTAAAAAAAGGGCTTGCGACAAGATCGCTGCCAAGTATGTATCCCATATCGTGAACATCACACAGAGTGCCACGTTTCCTCCCAAGCTACCCACCACCTAACTACCGTACAGTAGCGAGGTGCAGTATTTAGCGGGCCGGCGGGCGGGACGGGACGGGACGGAGGGGCTTTATCTGCGGCAATTGCGGGGCGTGTGTGGTACCTACGGACATGAACAAGAGGAGGGGGTCAGGAACTCACGAGGACGACAACTACCCTGTTGTCGCCGAGCCGAGCGTTCGTGTAAAATATTTGATTCTTTCGCGGTGGGACACATGGCTACGTACAGAAGTGCAGACCGTGCGCTGTATAAATCTCAGCCAGATGCGCGAACGCACATGATGTGGCCTATACGAGGCCCGAAAAGCCCCAAAACATGTATTGGAGGACACTGGTACTCCCGTAGGACCGGCAATAAATACAACTGCAAAGGTGCTGCGCTGTTGTAAGCTGTTGTGTGAAGTAAATATTTTTACGGCGTAAAATTGGTCACGTTTTTTCGCTCTATTGCGCGAGAGGGCATATTCTTGGCGGATAGTTCATGCCTAATAGAGCGGCTTTGCTGCTCGGACAACAGCTGTTTCCAATGATTACCGTGTTAAGGAATAATAAACACACACACAGAAAGACTACCCATTCGAGATATACCCTTAAGAGCAGTCGAATGGGATGTGGTGGAGTCTTTTCAGTGAGTGGAGTGAGACAGCAGCATGTTACTGCTGTAGGTTGTTATTTAGATGTCACAGCCCTACTTGGACCAATGATTTGAAATCTCGATTTTCTCCGCAGAAAAAAGGAGTTGGGGAGGGTGCCGAAAATGGCGGCGATGGAATGACCCGATTCCTCGAGAGCTTGTCGAAACCGTATCAGTTGCTCGCCTCTTTGTAGCGGAGTCGTCGAGCATTGAGAATCGGTCCAGGGGGCGCGGGGAATCTCACGTATGCAACCAAGTAATGCACGTTGTTCTCGTCAGATTTTCCGCTCAGCGGCAAGATACAAACAACAACAATAGCCGGACCCGTTCCGTTCCTTGAAGACCAACCCATCATCTTTTCGAACACATCAAGTCATTCGCCTGCGCCACCCTCCCAGAGTGCGTGTCGCCTATAACACGGTACACACACATTTGCTCCTTGTCACAAATGTCTGCCGCTGCGTCGTGTTCTCGGAACAAAACGCCGAGCCAAGTAATTTCTCCTCTCAGCAAAAAACCTCCAACAACTCGCTGCCAAAAAACGCTCCCCCAGAAGAGAAGCAGGGGATGCGTTGGCTCCGGACAGCACAAACTTGACGTCCTCCTGGTATTCTCCACGTCGGGCAATAGGCGAACCTCATTTGGCATCTTCACGAGACGACGCGGGGGTGACACTAAACACTGGCCCGAAAGAAGAGACCGCGAGAGGCTTCGATATCCACCAATCGATATTGTAGACATCACGATGTTGGACCGATTTTCATGCACATGGATAGTGCAGCCTCCAAAGACCAGTTGCGAAACAAACACATGTTCGAGTGTGCGGAGTATATGAGACTACCAAACGATCTCAGGTATGTCAACCCCGCACCTGCTTGTAGAGATCAGGGCAATCCCCGGTGAGCTCCTCCCCTACAGGCGTCACGGCGTTGAAGTCGACTACCACTTGGGCTTCCTCATCGTCCGTGCAGCAGGCTCCGGACGACGCGATCGAGTTGTCGCAGAAGGTCAAGACCTGTTGTGCCGACGGGAAAAAGTTTGAAAGTGTAGGCAGCAACTAATTGCAGTTTCCAACGGACCTTCATGCATAAAGCGCGCGTGGGGACGGTCTTGGTAATCTCGAGCAGGCACGTCTCTGCTACGCTGCTGCTACGCTGGTGATTGTTGTTGTGTCAAACAATCAATTACGTACAAGTAGAGGCAAACACTAACTGATCACCTGGTCATAATCCGTCGGTTTGTCGTCGATGAAGCAGAGAGGGTGCGACGCCACCTGAGTGGCGACCAGCGCGGCTAGACACGCGAAGGAACGCATCATCGCGTCGCCTGCTGCTGGTTTTACTCGGTCGTGATCCGGAGCAGCAGCAGTGGGGGAGGGCGAGAGATGATGCCCACACACCGGCCGTCAGGCAGCGGGTTCTGGGGAGACGGAGTATAGAATAAGATGGGTGGATAACAAGATGTGTCGAGTGAATGAGTGGGGGACTGATGGGGGGTGTGCGTACCTCGTGTATTTGCCGTTAAAGATCCAGATGTTTCCTCTCCCCGAGCCAGAAGATTATCATGGGCTCTGAAACCCTCCGTTTTGTCTCTCTCCGCCTTTCACACAGCACTCTCACAAGGCCACATGTAGCTGCCCGGGATCCGTTGGAAAGCCTTTCCGTTCATTTTGTCGTTTCTGCATCTGTCTGTCCATCTCGGCACCTACCTCTCTCGTCCGCGCGTCGAAATCCCTGCTCCATCCACCCATTCACAGCAGTTCACGTTACAGCAGCAAGAACAGCAGTCCTCTATTGCTCGGCTCTCAGATACATGCATACATGAATGGGCCTACATGGATACATTCATGTCGAACATGTCATCTTTCAGCACAGATGTCCAGAACATCATCCCATATTTTACGGGATCTTTTGGGCTCTATTCTGTTCCATTTTATGCTTCTCATATATATCTGCGTCTGTCTTTCTGTCTCTGCATATATATCTGTTTTCTCCCGCTCGCGGAAACCTCTCCTCCCCCATCCACCCATTCACAGCGGTCCACCGCACAGGAGCACAGCAGTAGTATCTTTCTCTCTCAGCTCTCTCAGATACATGCATCCTTGTCACTGCTTGCATGTAATCGATTCAGAAAGTTTACCCGGGAGATATTTTCCATCTCGCCTTGGATCTTTGTTGCTCTCTGTTCCGTTCCGTTCCGTCCGCTCCTCATCATTCTTTCTGCGTCTGTCTGTGTCTGCATCTGACTTGCCCGCTCGCAGAAACTCTCCTTCGGCTTGTCTATCGATGGTACAGCAGTAGTAGCATTCGCCCGCGAGTTCCTCTCGAACATAAAAAAAGTCGTCCACGAATCCGCTGGTTATACTGCTCTACTACCTCTCGATTGACAGCTTGTTTTCGATTGCGATTTCTCTTTGTCCGCTATTTATTTACTTTTTCGCGAGGCACACAGCTTATTCCCAGCAGCCTGTCTGTTCTTGTGGTATATACACAGACATTTCGTGTCCGGGCCGCCGCCCTCTGTCATCACGTCATCACACACACAACGACCGCCCCGATGCATCTAATTCCTAACCCCTCTCTTCACGCTGTCTATGACGAATTGACCAGAGGCCGCAGAAAAGAGTCCGCACCAGCGGAGCAGCGAGGGGTTCTCGTGTTATTTCGTCGCGCATGCATACATGCGGTAGACACTGCTCCTGTACGATATAGTGTTTCTGTGTTTTCGTCCTTTTTTTGTAGGCAAAGACGTTGTAGTACATGCGTGCTCGTTTCAACTACGGTACATGGACAGATAGGAGATGGATGCACACAGACAGAGAGGGAATCCTCTACGCGCTTGGCCAGAGTTCCTTGGTATTGTAGTAGTAGTAGTTGTTGTTGTTGTTGTTGTCTTCACATTAAAAACCGTTCCGATCCCTCTCTACCCAGTACCTTCGTATGTCCGTACTGATCCAACACTCGACGCGGTCGATTCCCGTGGTCACAGGTTAACTTACCCTAAAAAGGTACACTCAAATAAACTGGCCCCGAGGGGTCCGCAAGTCAATAGAAATCAACGACAGATATTCTGGAATCCTCCACTCCCTCGTCGCGCTATGCGAGGTATCAACTGAGACTAGCAGTCACTATCTATCATGGGCCGGAGAGAAAGAGGTGCACCCGCTTGGTTCAATCTTGGTACTTCACAACGCAAGCAGAGACAAGGCCATCTGGCACAGAAAAAGAGAGAAAAAAAAGAGAGAAAAAAAGAGAAAAAAAAGAGAAAAATGGAAACCGTATAAGGAGAAGAGAAAAAATAAATAAAAGAAATAAAATGAAAATAAATGAAAAAGGGCGAGGACAAAGAGGGACCAGGCCGAAAATAACAAGAAGTATGAGGTAGAACAAGGCACACGGTGGAGAGACCACTAACGAACAAGCAAACACGCAAACATGGCCACCAACCAGCGATACATTGTAATGGTACGAAATCACTACTGGGGGGTTGGTGCAATGGTGCAGCGTTGGGGCGGGGGAATTGGCTAAAAGAAATTCAATCCGGCACGTGTCGTGCCACTCGGTCCGTCTCTTCTCGTTTGCTTTCTTCCCTCGCCGTCTCGTCCGTCTCCTGCCGCCCTCCCGCCCCATTGGTTGTTGGCTTGTGGTTTCGTTTGAGCGCTCGTTGTCGGCTGGCCTCTTCTTCCTTCTCGTGCCAGGAGGTCATGAACCTCTCAGCTCCCTGCAGCACCGCCGCATGCCAGGGTACTCCCCCCTCCACCTTCGCGGCTTCCGTCCACCTTGACTTCGGTGCCGTGTCTTTCGGTACGGGAATTCCGAGACAACTTGGGTCGGTTTTCGTAGATCCGTGGTCGGCCCCGAAGGCCTTCAGGTCGTCGAGAACACACGTCGGCCAGTTCTGTTCCTGTCCCCCCCTACGTGGCTTCTCCCCCCCCGCCAGCTCGCCAAGCATCAGTCGTTTCGGGAGTCGCCCGTCCGGCTGCCTTGCCAGTGCTCCCGCGAACAGTAGGCGTCGTTGTCGGATCGTGGCTTCAACGCTCTGGCATTCGACCCTCTTCAGCGTCTGGGCGTACGAGAGCTGCCGGTAGGTGTCCTTCTTGCGCTTGTACCCGATAATAACTCGAAGGAGCAGTCGGTGGTGTGTCGACCGCAGCGTCTGATAGTGGCCGCTGAGTGGTGACCATGTCATGCAGCCGTACAGCAGTGCCTCCATCGCCTCCGCCTGGAGGAGGCGGATCTTGAGTCGGAATGGCGCTTTCGGTCTGTCGAAGAGCTCCTGGCCATATCGCCTGAGGCACGCCCACGCTCCTCTGCTCCTGTAGCTGATCTCCCGGGTGAGGTCGCCATGTTCGTTGACGAGGCCACCGAGGTACCGGAAGTCGGTAGTAGGGCAGGGCGAGAACGTTGGGCTGGTTGGTGTTTGGTGGTACGGCAACTACAATAGCTGTAGTACTGCTGCTGTAGGGGAGCCGGTAAACGAGACCTGCCAGTCTCGTTTTTTATACGCGACCCCGGGGACAAAAAATGCCCATCCCCGGGGTCTCGTTTTTTATGCGAGACCCCGGGGACAAAATGATCACATCCCCGGGGTCTCGCATACTAAACGAGACCCCCGGGGACAGGACAGAACCATCCCCGGGGTTTCCACCCCCAGAATTATGGCTCTCCCGCAGCTCGCAGCTGGGCGGGGCGCCGTGCACCAGACAACCACTACGCTGTGTTTTGAGACCTCAACTACGTAGGGAGCCTTTGATGGATAGCAGTAGGACTGTGCCCGAGGGCAAGGCCGTGCTGCCTGCTGATCGGGAGTCCCGCTGCGGAAGATATCGAGCGTCGATCGTGAAAAGTAAGGGCGGGAAGATGACAAGCAAGAGCGAGAACAACGAGAACAACGACAACAACGACAACAGGTGGGCCAAAGAGAGTTGCCCAAAGAGAGTAGCCGAACGAATGTCTGTGGTGTCAACCCCACCGCATGCGGATATGTTGTGTTGGTGGTGCACTAGCCCGTGATAATTTTGCCGTTGGTGATGCGGCCTCGCCGTAAGGGTTGCGCTCAGGGGTGGAGACCTCATGGGCACACACAGCACAGCAGCAGAGCGACAGCCCCAGAGCGACAGCCCCAACAGCACAGCAGAGCGAGGCAGGCCCAAGCAAAGCACGGCGATGTTGAATGACGTCTAAGGTAGAGGATCACGCCATTTAGGACAGCAGCAAAAATGCTGAGTCCACAGCAAAGTTGTTGGGTCGCCGTGTTGCAGTGCGGGATAATGAGCGATTCGGCGGGCAGGACCTCAGAGCGGAGGCTCTTTTTGAATTTCAACTTTACACGTCACGTATTGCGTCACGAGCACTCAACCCCTCAACAGCACCTCAACAGCAGGCAGGCTAAGCCAGCAGGCAGGCTCACAGCGAAGCACGGCGGGGCCAAACCACCTCATACCATGAACACACCAGGAAATCACGCCAGCACAGCACCACCAGGGATATAGCACGGCAGTACAAAGTAATAATATATCGAGCATCAAGTGGCAGTGGAGAGCGTGCGCGGGATGAAAATCGCCTAGATTTTTTGTATGTAGTCGAAATACTGCTGCATTGTAGTCGAAATACTGCTGTACTATGTGCTTCACGGACAGCAAACGTTTCCCCGGGTTCATGCAGGGATACCCTATTTTTTTTTGTTTCGTTCGTGGGGTCGTGTATGCCGGGTTTTGAGACGACGGGTTCCCCATCTTTTGTGGGCTAGAGCTAATGTGAGAAAACGACAACAACAACAACAACTAAGCAGAAATAGTGTGCTCCCAGTAACAAAAGTGAGCCGGAGAGAAAGGGAATTGACCTCGGCCCGCCGACGAAAGGTCAACGCGCTACGACCAAGGGCGAGGTGAGCATTTCTAGCAAAATTCAACGAGTCCCTGTTGCGATGTTAATCGCCAGAGTAGGGTCATCACGTCCACCGTCATCGAAAGGTACTTACATCACGAGCACACGACGGATACGTCGAGTAGTCCACTGATTTGCATAGGCGTTGCCCTGTTCGAAGTTCGAATTCATCACAGCTGCGTAAACAGTTTTGATTATTGTGCATGTTTCCGCTTGCAGCAGCGTCGAGGCCGGGGACCTATCTCGGACAGCCAAGCCGACGGTCGTTTGAGGCAGCTGAAAGCCTTCATTCAGAACGTGACTCGTAGGACAGCCGAACGACCCAATGCTCGGAAGAATGGTGCGGGGGAGACACCGACACCGAAATCTGCCGGTGTGAAGCTGGTAGAGTTCGTCAAGGAGAACTGCGGCGTGGAGGTGTTCCGCAGTACCC